ACATATAAAAATTCATTTGCCTAAATTTACTAAACATTTACACATTGTTGCACTTTAAAAGCAAGCACAACTGTCACATCGAGTGAAGACACACAATTCAGTCTTCATTGGCTATTAGGGTAGAGGTTTCAATTTTTTTTTATTTTTAAGACACAATATTTGTTCATTAGTTGAACAATTCTGTATACAGATAAAATTCATGCACAATTCCCCTATATATATTAGGCACTTGGTAAGACACATCAAAAATTGAATGTTCACTTCATTGAAACACTATGTGTAATATTATGCAAACAAATGTTTCTATAATCCAATATGGATCAATATAAAAATATAAAACATTCCTTTCAAATAAATAAACTAATTGTTATCACTAATGAATAAGAAATTCTGGTGTATTTATTTCAAACATTTGAGACATGCGTAATTTTTTTTAGTATTATTAAAAATGTAACTTATATTAAATAAATTTTATTGTTTGTTGCTCTGTCTATGATGATAATCAAGAGTTTTTCTTTAAAATTGTAGACACATAATTCTAAAAACTTTTTTGGGTATTCCTTCAATAAAAAAAAGAAATCTCTAAAATGGAAAATTAATAAATTTTAAAATTTTTAAGCTGAAAAATATTGTAATTACATGAAATTGAAGAAACATTAGCTTTAATGGCAAAAAAGTGTGAATTTTTGTGGAAACTATAAAATCCAAAGTTCATTCCATGCTAATTTTCAGACAATTTAAAGCGTTTTAAATAAAGGCACGTGGCAGTGGCTTTACAGCTTAAATCATAATAAGACACAGCAAATGGCAGTAAAAGATTTTTGAAACATTCAGCCTTGCTCATTATTATAATCCAAATTAACCTTTCAAGACAGTGAACAAATTTGTACTAAAATTTCCCTGCTACTTAATTTTATAAAAGGTAATTTCCCTGGTTTAAAATTTCTCTGACACATGAAAAAATCATTTGTTTTTTAATGAAAGCCATCCGCTTGAAGCTCAGGAAAAGCTGGGATAAACACTTATCAAGAAAATTAATATTTGTATTTATATAATGAACAAGATTTTAAAGATAAAGTGACTATTTAAAGGAAAAAAAAAGAAATATCACTAAAAAAGCAGAGTCAATAGGCAACAAAATGCCTAGTACATTAATTTTCCAGTCATCTTATAGAAGAGAAATACATTAATTTATTACATTAAAAAAAATTCAACTAAAAAAATTGCTTTAAAAAATTCAAATAGTAATTAGGGAAAAGATATCAGTAAAAGGGAAAAAAGATTTATACATAAATGGTCAAAACAAAGTTAACATTACAATTACACTTAATAATAGGCAGTGGAGTTTTAGCTGGCAAATACATAATGCATTTTATGTGGTCAAAAATTATAATAAATATCACTATGTTTTTATAACAGTTGTTAAAAAACAGCAAAGATTATCAAATTTTACAAAACTGTAAATTTTCTGTTCCTTTTTAAGAAAATACAGTCATTAATATTCAGATTGAAAGAGCCATTCAATTTTTAAGCCATTCAATTCATTGAAGCATATTAAATAAAATTAGAATTGAATTTATGAAGCTATTTTACAAGAAAATTCTTACAAATAGTTAGAAAACATATTTAAATGGTTAAATTAAGTACCATTTTAAATGAAAAGTTTAATTAAAAGCTTACGTGAATGTTAAAAATTCTAAACTGAAACACAATTATCACCAGTATTTTTATCAAACAGTCTTATAAAATGTTACACAAAACACATATTTAAGAAACTATACTACATATATACATCATTATATACAAAAAAAAAATAAAGCACATGACTAACACTTCAATACACAAATTAAGTTTCATTTTGTGGCTGGCAAGTCAGCCAGCTGACTAACATAAAATGAAATGCAAGGTCTAAAGATATAAATTAGCAATTTCATAAAATGATTTATAAGTTTTCTCAAATTTTGAAAAATTCAGAAGTGCTACAAGAATATCACATTTCAGGAATAATAGTACCTTGAATTTGGGATAATTTTTAAGCTGGCATACTTAAAAAGCAGAAATTTTGTATGCTGAATAACTAAAAAATTCATTAAAAATCCTAAGAAATGGGTTTATTATGATTTAAAACCATCAATCATCAGTTTATAAACTTAAGCATTGTGCTTAAACCACTGGTCAGAGGATTAACATTTGTATTATATTAAATGTTAATTTCATTTATATTTAAATAGGTATGGGTCAAAACATTTTTTATTCTGTGGAGTGTATGTGAATAAACAGAAACAAACAGGTCAAAAATTGTTAAATTCCCACAATTTCTTTTTTTTTTTTTTGCACATCGAAATTTTGCCTGGAGTCCAAATTACTAATCTAGTAGGCCCGCAATAAAACACTTAAATGTTTTACTGGACCTTCGGGTAAATTGGGTTGATAGACACTGGGCTAGGGGGGAACAAGCTATATATTATTTAATTGCAAAAATGAAAAAAAGTAAATTGCTTACACATTAAATAATTAATTAGACAAGCGAGGCAAGAATATTATTAGAAAATGAGAATATTCTCCTAAATTGAAGTTAGTAATTGGGAATATTATTTTTCTCACAGATGAATAAAATAAATATATATAATTTATGCCTATCTGAATTTAATTTTTTACAGAATATGTATTCATTGTAAGAAACTTGGGACAATTTTCTTTTTGATTTTTTAACAACCGAGAATTTAACATCCCTAATATAAAATCTGATTTAATTTACATTGCCAAAAAAACTCTTCTAAAATTTAACCTGATACAAAATCCTCTTAGACCATAGTACAGTACAATACCCTGTGTCCTTTAATAATTAATTTTTGCAGATACAAACACAAGATTATTTAGGAATTTACAATAACCTAATTCTCTGAAATTTGCACTAATCCTACTCAGAAAGCAAAAGGTCACACTTTGTTATCGATAACAAACAATATTCTCTCTCTCTATATATAATATTAATAATCAACTTATTGAAAATAATTTGGAGATTATTATCAATTAGTTGTTTTTAGCAATGTTGAGGAATTTCTTTAGAATATCTAAAACACCTCTTAAAAAAAAACTTATTTTTTTATTTCCTTAAACATAAATAAAAATATTGAAACAAATATTATTATGAAGAAAGTATTTAACTTTCAATAGCCCAAATTACATACATTCTAATTACATTATCACAGAAAAATTAAAATTAGTGAGATCAATTAAAATGACTAATTTTTGTTATTACATGCCATTATCATACATATAATACATGTCCTTAAAACATAGCTATGTATACAACAAAATGTTAGGCTTTTCTTAGCAAATAAGAATAACTATTACACTTACTTAATATTAAATAAAAATTGCTAAAAAAAAACAGTAGGAATTAAAAGTTAAAATTTTTTAAAATATTAGTAAAAATGAAAGTTTTATAATATTGAGCTGTAAAATTTTAAGTTTTATAATATTTTATTGAAAATAAATGTTTTTGTATTGTAATCTATAAATTTTTCAATAAATTTATTTCCACAATCAAAACTTTTTAAAGTTTTATATCCCACTTCAAATCCTAATTTTAGACTGATAATTGATCAAATCCTAATTTTAGACAGATAATTAATCAAATCCTAATTTTAGACAGATAATTGATCAAATCCTAATTTTAGACAGATAATTGATCAAAGCCTAATTTTATATAGATAATTGATATATTTCATAAATATAATACTTAACATGTAAAATATCAGTGATGCAATGATTTTAGGGTTATCAATTGTCCATTCTTGCCAAATACTAGGTTGATGAAGCCTAACTTGATATTTAAGTGGAGAATAATTTTTATTTCTACTTTTAAAATAGTTATTAAGGAATTAAAAGGATTGATGAAAAAAATTTAAATTATCAACAATAAAATATTTTGCATAAATGTATGAAGTAGCCATTATTTCTTACTATTTTTATTCAAATCATATTGGAAATCAGTATTATTAAAAAATTATGAATTAATGAGAAAAATATGTAACACTACTTATTTTAAGTTAAAAAAAAAACAATAAATTTCAAACTTCGAATTTAAAATATGTTTATTTTATTACAAATGAATATTTGTTATTGAAATATAGAGAAGTAATTTTTTAATCATTAATATGTCATTAAAAAATAACTTTTATATCCTTAAAATATCCAGCAAAGATTTTTAATTAAATTAATACACTAAATATTTGTGTTAAACTTTAATCATTCGATGAATTTTTTTTTTTCCATCCAAAAACTAATTCAAGAATTAAAATTAGTTTAAAACAACCAGATTCAAAGATTTGCTATAATTTGCGATAAATATGTACGGCAGCTTAATTATATTCTAATAAGCAATTTGCAAGCAAAGTATTTCTAAGATTTCTATCAGCTAAAAAAGACTTAATCACCCTATGCATTCTAGAAGCCATAAGCAGCCCTTTGAATTGCCAATAGAGCTTTTAAATTACTTATATCTTAACACATTTAAATTTTTTTTGTTTGGAGAAAAAAAAATTTCTTTACCAAAATATGTTTAAAGCAAAATATAATTCAAAGATATATTTAAAAATTAAAGACATTACTAATTTATTAGGAAGTAAAAAAGTTATAAAATTAACTTTTATACACAAAAAGCTAAAAAATTACTACAATTCATTTAAGAAGGTAAAGTGTGCTAAATTTCAAGCTTATTAATATAATATTATGCATAACAAAATAATTTGCTGGCCTAAAAAATAAAAATTGAGACAAATTAACACTAGTAGAGAATAATCAAGTTAATCATTTATTATATTTATCCAGCGACTTTAACAATATTATTAAAAAAAAATTAATACTTGTTATCCTTTAATAATTCTTTACCAATTATGAACAACTTTCTTCAATATTGATAACGATGAAAAGGATAGATAAAAAAAAGTTGTCAAAATAAAATCTCTAAAATGTAAATAAACAAACATATTAGCTAACTCTACTTCTATATCAACATCAGAACGTGCTAACTACGGCTGATAAGCTGAAAAAAAGTTCTTGTACTAGCAATTTTATTTATATATGGCGATTCTGCATTTTTTTAAAAATTCTTTATGCCTTACTGTTCAGTTGCTGTAAATATTTAGATAGAAATATTTAACATACAGACCAAGAGAATTCAAATTTAATTTTGTAATTAACCCGTTAATAAAATGCACACAGTTTAATAAGCAATGAGAGAAAAAGAAACAGTATCAGATGCTACATTCTCCAATACCTCCAAAGAAACTTTTTCTAGAACTATGTACATAATTTTTTCATAAATAAAAAATATAACATAATTAAGCTTTCAAGATTTAATATCTAACTAGACAAAACCATTTAAAGAAACTTATTACCTTTTAGAAAACACCTGAAATCAATTAAAGCATTTAATCTGAGGTATGATTTTCTATTAGACATTTTCATAATTTTACACCAAATAATAAACTCATCATAACAAAGATACAAGTAGTTGATTATGCATAAAAGACAGATTTTTTTTTTTTTTTTTAAATCTTAAAAAGACATTTATGTGTGTAAGCGGTAGACATAATTTGATAAATATTGGCATTTTTCTTGGCGATTCTGAGGTAGTATATCTATTTGCATCACTATAAGCTATCAAGGATAATTTTAGTGTTTGTGTTTTAGTGGTCTCGGATAAGTGAACCCTGTTTAATTTGAAAGACTGATTACTATCTCATTTTATTAGAAATAATGAATATTTTACTAAATTTATACACTTTATAAAACATATTTTAATTTTTAGACTTTGTTTCAAGAAATTTCGAATCACCAAGAAATTTGAGAAAAAAATTAGACGGATAATATAGCAATATTTACTTCGATAATATACACTAACTGTCAAAATTAATAGAAGTTAACAACAAAAGCTTGTATTTTCAATTATAATCAATTCAGCAAATGATAAGCTTAAACCTGGTGATCAAATCAATTAACTCTGATCAGGTTCGCCACAACACAAATTGATATATTAACTACTTTTGTCCAAAACAATAGTATATATATCAGATATAAACTTAAATGTAAGTAGTTAATTTTACAAGACAAAAGACTTTTAAAATAGGAAAAATAATATTAACTACAATTTTAATTAGTACACAAAACATAATTAAATTATTGTGTGGTTTAAAAAAAAATAATGTGCCTAATTTGTTAGAATTTAATGTTGAAGCGATTATTTGTTTTTTCGAAACAATTATAATGGACATTGCCAACAGTTTTTATATAAAAAATGGAAAAGAAATTCTTTTTGAGCAACAAGAAAATGTTAAGACTTGGATTAAATATTTTATTAAATTATATATTCAATTAATTAAGATTAATTTAAAAGCAATACACTACTGCGTAGAAGTGATTAATGAGAGAGAGGGCACAAGATAAAAAGGAACAATTTATATAAATTATCATATTTGAAAGGATTAAAATTTGATAAAATTAAAATAAAGTTTTAAAAACTGGTTCTAAATTAAGTCTGTACAATAAAATTTTCATGTTTATTAAAAAAATATTTCAACACACTATTTGAAATATCAAAGAGAAGGAAAACTTCAGCCGGCATTTTAAAATTTAGCAAAATCAAACCATTTCAACAACAAAGAGTGAATTTTTCAAAACATGAGAAATTTTGTAAATTAAGAAGAGAAAAAAAAAACATAACATACAAATTACTTTAATAGATCAAAATTAACATCAGCTAACAATAATTTATTGAAAAATACATAAATTAACAACTATTGAGCAAAATATTTCTTAATTTTAATTAAAAAGAATTTTCATGATCATAATTTAAAAAGATTCAAATAATTACAATCTAAAAGTTAATGTGTTAAAAATTTTGTATACCTTTCCACATTGGCAGTTTTTCGAAGTAAATCACATACCGCATATCAATTTGCACATAAAAACAAAGCTAATCCACATGCTTTGACCACAACGTTGAATTTATACATTTAATCCGGTTTTGAAAAATCACATTAAACTTTTTAGAAAATGCTTGAACCATTTTGCACCTAAAACACAAACTAAATCATGTCACCGAATTTCCAATTTGTGGTAATTTACTATGTGAATTTAAAGTCGCACTCATATCATCGCCAATAGTCGTAACAACCGTCCTCGCTTTAGTACCACCGATTGTATTCATTTTAGCTATAATACTGGTTCTCGTTGATCCATTTTGAAACATCAAGGTTTTTGATCCAGATTCTATTAATGAATTTTCAGGTGCTTTAGGAAGACGTCTACGTAACCAGGCATGCCTCAAAGCAGCTGGCGGCGTGAGTCGTAAAGCCGGATCCCACTCCAAACAGCTTTTTAAGAAGTCTATAAATAATTCATCATCACAATTTTTTAGGGCAGTCGTCCACTCACGGCTTCCTGGTGGTCCCCGCATTTTACCGCGTCTAGAACGTCCTCCGCTGAGAACTACAGAACCATCAGGTAGGGTTGTTGATGTACAGTACCTAGGATGACCTTTAGAGCTTACAAATTGCTTAGCCCGCTTAGATTGGTCTAGGACTTTTTGAGGTGGCATTCCAATTAACTCTACGATGCAGGCTAATTGGTCTGCTTCATCTTCTCCTGGAAGGAGAGGATAGCCAGTCAGCAATTCAGCCAATATGCAGCCTAAACTCCACATATCGATGGCAGTCCCGTACTTGCCACCAAGAATGACTTCAGGTGCTCTGTAAAATCGAGACTGTATGTAGGAGTACACACGTTGGTTCTCAAAACAGCTGGAACCGAAATCGATCACCTTGATTCCGCTTCGGCCGGGCATCTTCAAAAGAACATTTTCGGGTTTCAGATCACAATGGATGATTCTATTACGGTATAAGGCATCCAAGCATTGAAGAAGGGAGTGAGCGAATTTTCTAACTAGTTGGATGTTAAAACCTTGAAACTTATTCTTCTTAATTAATTCGTACAAGTTAATACTGAGTAATTCAAACGTGATACACATGTGATTACGGAATGTGAAATGTTCCAGCATGTGAACAATGTTCAGATTGTGATCTTTATCTTGTTTGCGGAGATGATCTAAAATCCGTATTTCTTCTTGCGCTTGTCGATGAAAACGTTTTTCGTTGCGTACGATTTTTAATGCAACACTCTCATGGGTTTTGTGATCGTAAGCTTTAACTACCTGACCAAAGCTGCCCTTGCCTATAATTTTAATCATTTCATATCGGTACCCAATGTGATCATGCATAGTATGTAAATAGGAACCTTGATCATCGTCGTATCCACTATTATTAGGAGCTCCTATTACACCTAATCGTTTTTTAGCATTGGCCCCAATAAAATATACCTGAGGATATGAAAATATTTCATGGTGTTCGTAAGGCGTTAATTTATGCATGTATAATTTCATCACCTGTTGCGGAGAGGCACCCACACTTTTTAAGGGGGGTTTGCCGGAGTTTTTGTTGCTTGTTTGGTTGTTGCTACCGTTGGAGTTGGGCCGAACTTCGGGGAGCGCTGAGTTCTCCGTTCCGCCATTTTGAAACACCCGAGAGGCTTGTTTATAACGAGAAATCGAATCATTCTTTTCAGATATCAAGGTCCCGCTGTTCTTGCTGGAGATTTGAGGTAAGAATGAGTCATTTGTCGGTGATATCGAAGATCCATTAGTGATCAACGATTTGGTACGCGACAATGGCATTACTAACATGAATTCACATACGATAGTAAACTCAGCATCAAATATCCAAAATATATTTAATTTTTTTTATATTTGAATCCTTTGTATTCCAATTATGAATCAAGCACACAAGTTTTGATGACATCGGTGGCTATGTTTTTTAAAAAATCAATTTCCAAACAAACGATTCCAGACACAAACATTAGAGAGCGTTGTTTCATTTCACTCCACTTCTCTCCTCACGAGCGTCTAGGTCGCTGCTCTTAGGGGCAACTGACTGTTGCTAAGCTGCGTTGTTACCCAGATCTACGTCAACTGTGCGTCATGTGCTAACAGCCAATAAGGATAGAGACTATTCGCAATGCCTATCGGAAAAGTGGTCTAATCAGCTGATCGCAGAATTTCCATGCATTAACAACTTACTTCTCTAGAGGAGCAGATCTACAAATATAATATTATTCTCCCCGTTAAAAAAGAATTAATTCTCTAAGTCATTAATATAATTTAAATTTTAACAATTCTTCGAACTAATGAAGCGTTGAAGGTATAAATAAATTATGCTTTTAGTTTCAACTTGATTTTATTTAAAAGGTTTTCTTTCATTTTTTTTCCTCCTCATGACTGATGCATATTTATTGTTTGACATTTTCGCTCTCTTCAAAATAGCATTCTACATTTTCTTATTAGAGCTTAACTTTTAACAATAGCTACTATATAATGGTAATAATAATGTAGTTTTAGATTCGATTTACATTTTCTTTTTTCGGTTCGAATTTTTTTTAAAAATTTAAATCATAGTTTTATTCTAATCCAGTGACTGATTTATCATAAGGCCTTCCTTAATTGTCTATTAGAGCTATAAATTTACAAAAATTAAAATAAATATAAGCTCAAATTTACTAATGTATTAAAATTTACTTGCGTCATTAAGTAATTTAAAAACACCACTTCATAATCAAGTTTGTAAATTTAGTTTAAAGTAAAGGCCAGAGGGTCCCTCTCTATTCTGTGTCCAGGGCCCCTGGATTTCGAGATCTGGCCCTATTCTTATCTGAGCCTAAACAATCGCTGGAAATTTAGTAATTTAATATTTTATTCATTGCATTTTCAATGCCAAAACTTTAGAAAACATGTTTGAGAGAATTTGCTTTCAGAGCATAATATTTTTTCAAGCGTTCTTCAATTTATTGTTCTATTTATGATATAGTTAATAACATTCTTGATCATAAAAGGGAATACATTATATGTTTTTTTTTCTCCCATGTGCATTGAAAAATCACTATTTTTAAGGAAATATATAGGATTAGAATTTCATATTGTCTATTAAAAGAATCAATAAAATTACAATATATTTTAGTTATCATATTTTCCCCAAAAACGTAACTAATGAAATGTAACAGTTTCACTTTATGAAATTTTATTTTTCTGTAAATTTATTCAGAGATAAATATTTTATTGTTTATTAAATTTTTTATTTATTTAAAACATTTAATAAAAAGACATATAATTGATAGTTTGTATCGTAAGCATTTTGAGAATAATCAGAGTTATATTTTCTCCATACTATACTGAAAAATTTATGTACACAATTCAGACAAATAAAAAATAACAGAAACATGCGTCTTTTTATCAACTTTATGAGAATTCTAATTGCTACTGATTCAAATGGTTATTTCAACTTCAACCATTTTAAATTAAATCATCCCCATCTGACGATCTTACGTAGCGTTTTTTATTATTATTATTTTATTGCTTTTAGTTAAATTTAATTGTATTAAAACATAGTATGTAAAAATATTTTTAAAACCGATTCAATTTAAAGAAAATACAAAATAATAATTAATCGTTTGAAAATTCAAAAATCGTTTGAAAATTTTTCATGAGTTGTTTCCGATCAAATTTCAAATTATTTTTTCTTTAAATTGAATAAACGTTTTAAAAAATTAAGAAAACGTTCTGCTTTATTTTATTCACATTAAAATTTTAAAATAAGTGAATATGAGACTGTATGTGAACAAACTACTGTAAATTTGTGAATGAAAGACGCGATTATACCAAACGAGTCTTCCAGACAATTTTTCTTATATTGTTTAACGACAGCAGGAGAAGTTCTTATGATCAATCACTAAGTCCAAGAATATATTTTGAAACGAAAACGCATAGAAAACCGGTACTGATTAAAAAAAAACTTGTTGTGTCTAAAAGTTTTTGGTGCCATAAGTATGTAATAACAAGTTTTTTTGTTTGTTTTTTTTAACACCATAATTATGTTGAAGAGCCTTACTGGTTGCAGTAGATAACTGAGTGTTTCCCTCCCCCTTTTCAGATTTTACAATCAATGAACAACTGAGATAACACAAATATTTTTTATTATTCCCTTTTAACCTTAATCTTGACTTTTTATTTTATACATTTACGTACCTATTTTAGACTGCTTTGCTGTGCAAAAAATTATAAAATTATAGAGACAAAAAATTAATTTAAGAGTTTAGATTATACCGAAACGTAAGAAAACTATTTTGTTTATTTATTATTACAATAAAAATATTAAATGAAAACAAAATTCATTATTTTTATATATCTCACTGCTTCATTTAAAAGTATCCAGCACTATGATAACTGTTGGTTTTTATAATACATTTTTTTACTTTTATGCGAAATAATTTTTCCGGAGACTTACAAATATTTATTTAATTAGTTTATTTTCGCGTATGGTTGTTTTGAAGTCTGTTTACTTTTAATTATAATTTGTTTTCAGAAAAACATACTTTTAAAGAACTCTATCGTGAAATAATATTGTTTATCTCGTGAACACAAACTTTATGCATGATGCCTCTCCAAAGGATATTACCAGTGGGCAAAAGAAAAGAGAAATTTAAATATACTTCTTTAAAATATTTTATAACTCAGAAACTATTCGACCCATTGTGCTCAAATTTTGAGTTTTGCGAATTGCAATTACATGGTTTAAAATTATATAAAATAATAATAATAATTTATTTCTTACGATTCAAAACTTTATCGGTCATTATCAAATAAGGTAATATTAAGGGCAATAAAGTAAACGTTTTCATTAAAAAAAAAATTTATAGTTGGAATCATGAAGGAAATAATATTATTAAAATATTGTTTTTCGTTTAAAATTGCGGCTATTCCTCCTCCCCCTATTTTGATTGTTAAAAATCCAATTATGTAGAAAAAAAAGTAAAACAGGTTTTTATACAGAGAAAATTCGTTTTTCTGTCTGATTTTTTAACTTAATTAATAGTTAATACTGATCAACTAACAAATTTCAGGTTGAACTTCTAACCATTTAAACTGATGCTTAGGCCTCGCGAATCTAATTATTAAATTGAACAAAAACAGGGTGCCGAACTCACGTTTGTGAGAATGGGAGTTCGAATCCAGCCCGCCGAAGATTCACATCTTCGGCAGGCTGGATTCGAACTCCCATTCAAGTGCCTTGTGCGCGTTAAATCTGTCGGGTCACAGAGTCCTCCATGTTCCCATAACAAATTAAACCTCTGGGGGTACTGACTTGGAGATTGATCGATTAGAGCTAATAATGATAAACAAAGAAATCTATATCATGTGAGAAAACTAGATCATTCTTTGAGACTTTCAGGCAAATATGCCCATACGTGCTTTTTGTTATATAGAAATATGTTATTATATAATTTAATACGTTTATATATATTACTACTTCTTTTTTATATGCTAGTGGTTTCTTAAGTATTATTTAATCTTTCTTATGTGTTATTCTCTTACTGCATAAAAAAATAGATAAATTAACTATCTTATCTCTTTTAGGTGTTTTTACTTGTCCAAGTTAGTTGGCTAATCCTCATTCGACCAGTGTAATCAATCAAAATCGTATAAAAACCAAATGACGAAATGAAACTGAAATGACTACCTGACATTGTCGATAGGAGGACGTGTGACAATCAGTTTTTCTAGGTTATCTAATGAAAGTGATAATAATTGTCATGTCGAGGCGGAGTAATGTGGCAAGGGAGAAAGGACAATTAAAATAAAATAGAAAAACTCTGCTGAAAGAAACCAGTTCATAAAACCGATCTGCCTACAAAAACGATATAACTCCCCACGCTTCTGTAAAAACTCGCTTTCATTGCTGTCAGTGGGCTTTTCGATTTTGCTTCACGTGTCGTCCCTACCCTTTTCCTTCATCTAGTGACCACGAGTTTCTGTTTCATGTAGTATGTTATCAGTTGATGAGATTAAATTATCGTTTTAAGTGCATTTAGATAATCTACCAGCTGGGGAAAAAATGGTTGCACATAGAGTGATTATTTTTTCATTATCTTCAGATTTGTGGATAAAAAAAAAAAATCGTTTGCTTTCATTTTTCATAAATGCATTCAAGCGTAATTCTTACGGCAGCTTCTTATCAATATTTTCGCAATTCATGCACATCGGGGATTAAAAAAAGATTTATAGGATATTTTTAATTATTTTCTTTTTTCATTTAAGGGCAAAGACTTCAACTTCATAACGACTTAACTCACTGTATGAATAACTGAATTTCAGATATTCATACATAATAAAATAAGCAAACGATTTTAAATCTCTATTTAGCTATTCAGATAGAATTAATCTTATAAAATATTTCCACATTCCATACGATTTAATAAAAATACCGTTTTAATTAGTATAAACATCACAGCAATTACATGGAGCGATGATTTTTTGAATTGAAAAGGGAAAGTATAAAATATTTTATTTTACTATTTTTTTTAAAATCAAATCTTTCTCTCTTCACTTCATAACGCAAGAAAAGATAAGGTTTAGAAATTTTCGTTTAAGTGTTATATTTTGAGTTTCAGTTTAATGTTATTCCTCATTGAGCAAACTCAAAAAAAAATCGTTTAGTTGTCTTGTGGATTTCAATCGATGAGTCGAGAGAATTAAATAATTTTTCGGTTCGATAAGTTTTGCATTCAGCCAGTGTTATTTATTTTTATTCGGAAAATTTTGATGGCAACAAGGAACAGAGAATTCTAACTGTGAAGAGAATGGGGAAGTTACCAACTTCCGTAAGGTTTCAATGGATTGAACCTCTCACAATGACATTGGACAGATGCCCACAAATATTTTTCCTAGGTATTTTTTATTTATTTATTTTTTATTTTTTAAAGGAGACAAATTCTCTTCTAGGAAATGCAATGACCTTTTTAATTCTTCTTTTTTTCATGTTTTTTTTTTTCGACCTTGCTTTTTCAGAATAACGTTAATTACTAAGCAATCAATCGAAGAAAAATTAGTTTAGGATAATTTATTTTAATTAACTA